GAAAAGATTTGCATCCCTTTAACCACCTGCTCTGACTTAGGCATTGTTTTGCCTTTCCTGTTTAGCATTCCTTCTGTGTTTGTGTTCATTTCCACTGCCTGTGGCAGGCTTGGACATTGGTAGTAATAGTGCTGTTGCCTGCTGCCATCATTGGATCCTCTGGGGTGGTGAAAACCATTTCCCCTGGGGGTTTATACATTTTCCTTGCAGTTGGAACCCTGCAGGTCTCTGTAGGTCTTGCTGACCAGTCCCATGTTGACTGCACAGGCCACACACCCCATGTTTTTGTGTGACTGATCTTTGAGAAGTTTTGTCTTGGTCTCCAGACTCTGTTTTTTCCAGGTCTGCCATCTTGATCTGGGGGCTTTGTCCACAAGCTAAAGAGTTGATGCTGGAGCTGCAACTGAATTGAATTCTGATAATTTCCAAAGAGGGATGGGTGACAGCATGGTTAATGGATCTTACAAATGTTTTCTTCCCCTGCTGCCCCCTTTGTTTTGTTACAAAGATGTGCAGGAGTCTCTCCTCGACAAGGAAAATTTGGATTTTGTGTTTTCTTGTGCAGAAGCCAGGAGACACAAGAATCCCCATCCACCCCTGCACTGTGGTAACCATCAGTTAAAACCAGGGAGGTCAGCTCTGCAGCCAGGTCAGAGGCCTTGCTGAGAAACATTCCAGCCTGAGGAGTTGCTGCCTTTCCTGTGGCAGTGCTTGAAGCCATTCTGTTGGCAGCTTGTGTTTCCAGCCATTCATTGCAGGAGCATTTCCTTCCTCATTAGCAAAAGTACCTGGAAGCCCAGCATTGTGTTATGAGATAGGAAGTCTTTTCAAATAGCTGTCTGTGCAATTATATTCTTAGAGTCTAATGACTTTGCAACACCCAGTATTTTGTGAACATAATTCTGTACTGTTACAATTTGGGCATCCAGTTCTGGCCAGTTGCCCACATAGTTCCCCTTAATAACATTAGCAGGGGAGATCTGAAAGATTGATCCTTTCCTCTGATAGCTTCATACTTTGGGAGTCTGATGCTCTACCTGGTCTGGGAGTGTCTGGCAGGATGGCAGGTTAATTTGGCAGAAGTCCATAGGGTAACTGAGAAGGCTGTGCTTAAAAGGTAAAAACTGTGTCTGCTGATGCTGCAGATGCTCTGTCAGCCATGTAATTGAATTCAACTTTGGATTTGGGCTGGAGGCTGCTGTAACTTGGAACCACTGACTCTCTGCATGTATACCCTGTTAGCTGTGCTCAGCCATGCCTGGTGAGTGTGAAGAAGCATCTCTGCTGAAAGAAGTTTAAATAGAAAAAAGTGCTTATCTCCTGCCATCTAATCCAAATAAACAGCCAGAATGTCACTGACCTCTGGGACATCCTGGAACAAGGCTTCTGATGACGGAAAGCTGTTCTGAAATATTCACAGTCGCAAAAAATCAAAGGCAGCAAATTGAAAAGGTTGAAAGATGCTGTCTCTGGGAATCTTCTGTGTCACAGTGTGTGGTAAATGTTCAGGGTTTGCTTCCTGCTGCTCCCAGGAGATGAGGCTGCTCCCAGCTCAAAGCTGGCTTTGTGCAAGCACTTCCCAAGTGGCAGAGAGGTTTTTATAAAAACCAGTGCCCTGGTGAGAGGAGAGGGAGCTCCTCTTCTCCCTGTCTTGGCTGTTTGCTGTCACAGGTCAGAGTTATTCATGCTGGGAGCTTCTTCTGGTCCTGTGGTGGGAGCTGGCAGTGTGGCCAGAGTTTGGGGACAGCAGAGCATCCTTTCCCTGTTTTGTAGCTTTCCCAGAAATCACTTCTCTTAAAGCAGAGCCATGGAGTAGGAGGTTGTGTCCGTGGAGCCATAACTGACTGACCCTGCAGGAAAGCTCTGAGAAGCTGATGAAAGCAAGCCCTGATTTGTTTCCAAGATAAACTGTTGCCTCTTGGGGGGAGTACTAAAGGATGGCTTGTTTCCTTGTGACACTTGTGTTGAATGGACTGTCCCCTCCCCAAAGAAGTATTTATTTTAGAGGATGACAAGGCTTCCAGGAGGTGGACAACACCCAGATCCCATGGAAGCCATGGCTGGAATTCCTGGGGCAGCTGCTGGCTGGGCTGGGTCAGACTGGGGAGCAGCAGGAATGGGTGCCATATGGACATCATCTCCTCTGCTGGGTGGGATTTTTTTCTCTTTGAAAAGTATGCTTCACTCTTGGCTCTTGTCCCGGCACGGCTGCATAGCTGGAATTCCAGAGCTGCTTGCAGGCTCCGGAGGAAGGAGGGGGCTCCCTGGCTCCCTTTCTACAAGATGCAACTTTACAACAAGATTGGAAGTCGAGAGCAGGCTGGCTAATTAATGCCAGCACACCAAAGGCTTCTCTGCACTGTTCCCTTTGTTAACAGCATGCTGAGAGCCTGTCTGCATCCTTAAATGATTGTTCACGGATCACATAATGAAGATTAATGCATTGTCATGGCTACCTGGGCCTTAAGCTGGCATTCTCAACATATCTCATGCCAAGAAGTTGTTCTGAAGGTGTGTTACGAGACCAGGGAGAGAGAAGCATACAGTGATTTTCAATACTGACTTATCTGCTTTCAAACTTCTAAAATTTCTTCAATGTTATGTTATATTTAGGTCTAAATTGCCTTCAAATTAGGATTAATGTGTGTGAGACTCCTCGAGGCAGGAGCTGTACAAACGTTCCTGCCCCAGAAGCAGTAACTCATGTCCCTGAGCTGCTGGTCCAGGCTGCAGAGCCTGCCCTGAGCTAACCCTGCCAGCACCTCACGCAGGGCTTGTCCCAGAGTGACTTGGCTGAGCGCAGGCATTTCCTTTCTCTGCTGCCCTGCGTGAGCTCCAGTGCTGCTTTGCAGAGCCTGCCTTTTCCTCTGGGTTCAGCAGGTCAGGGACAAAGCCCCCTGGACCTCCTGGGTGGAAGATGTCCATCAAGTACAAAGTGAAGGGCAGCGTGTGCCGCCCGTGTCATGTGGGTGCAGGAAATCCAGCAATGGGGGAGCTGGCACTGAGCTTTGCTGGAGCTAATTATTTCCTCTGCAGGGGCAAAGCATCTTCTTATCAGCACAGCAGTTTTTTGAGTGCTTTCTTGAGCTGTTGAGCAGTGGTTTTGGGGTCTAGGCTGGGACTTGGGGTGATCATTGGAATATTAGTGCCAGTGAGATCGTGGAATAGCAGGCAGGCAGAATGAATCTGCTGAGCCAAGGTGATGTCATGAGCCCGGCGTCTTACGAGGGATTTAGTGGTTTGTGCCATGCAAGTGAAAATGAATAAATGTAGAGCATTTATCCAGGCAGAAAGTAAATACAGAGATTAGAGTTGTCATTGTTACTGAGGCAGCTCCAAAAGCTGACAGTGTCCCTGGAGCCAGCGCTGCTCATCCGGAAAGAAAGGGGCAGGAAGAGAGAGGAGCCTGTCCTAGAGCCAGTCTCCTTTTAGCCACAGGCACATGGAGGGGATTTGCATTTTAATTATTTTTTCAGCAGTCTTTTAAGCTCTCTTTCCAAAGCATCCCCCTCCTCTCCTCTGTATTATGGCCTGCAATTTGTTTTGGGCCCTGAGAATACACCCGGAGCACTGCTGGACCCCACGAAAGGCACAAGGCACAGGCACTCAAGGATTAAGGTGGTGGAAGGTAAAGCCTAATCATTGACCTTTACATTTCCTTTCCTTTGTAGTGGAAAAGCTTTTTTGACCAGGCTTCTGGCCTGAGGCTGTTATCAGTTTAAATTTTTAAGCCCACATGTTTCCTAGGCAGAAACAAAAACACCACTGCTGAGCTGGGTGCTGCTGCTGGGGCTCAGGTGATGGACTAAGCTTTGCTTTTTCTTACCTGCTCAACTCTCCTGAGAAAATGTAGCCTGAATTCTCCAATTCCTGCCTTTGATTCCCTTTCTTTCTGCATCACAGTGGTGTCACTTTTCAGCCTGGTTTGAGCAAGTTGTGTCTGCTTCTTGAGAGCTCTGTGCTGCACTGTCCTGCAGCAGATCCCTCAGTGGAGCAGCACCACAACTTTGTTCCAGCCTGGGGTTTTTTGGATGATGTGATTCTTCTTTCAGTCCACTTGACTATGACCACCTTCGCAAGTTTTAAAATAAACTCCTCTCCAGCAGATTTACCTTTTTTTTTTTAATGATAGTCAGCTTTGTTTTGGACTTACCCTGATGGCAAATCTTACTAGCACCAGATGTTAAAAGACAGAGGGTTGCTCTTGTTTTTCTTGGCACAATATATTCCCACTGCACCCTGTTTAATATTATCTGAACAGTAATCTGATGATTAGGAGAGATAGTGAAATAAAGCTTTACGCAGATGATCTCTTTTCATCTCTTCAGCTGACTCTTCAAGGCACTGCATTAAAGGATTGGTTTGATAAGGAATTCATCACTCCTGAGGGCAATTACCATTTTTGCTCCCTGTTTTTCACGAATGGGAAGGAGTAGCAGCATAATCTCCTTTATCCTTCAGTGTAACTTTGAAGGCAGTATCCAGCCACTCCTCCCTGGGAGCTGTGTGTTCTGGAACAGACTTGACACAGTAGCTGTTAAATTACAGGGCTGGAGCAAAAAGCATCTTAAATTTGGATCCTGTGGAAAATCCCAGAAAAGCAATAAGCACTTGAAGTAGTTTTCTCTATGTAGATACTTCCAGCCTGCTCAGAGTTGTGCTTTCTGTGTACTTTCTGAGCTATCCAGGTTTTCCCCTGCCTAGCAAAGGCTGGATACCTGCAGCTCACACCTTGCTGCTCACTTTCCCTCTGTGAGATGAGCAGCCAGGCTGCTGTTGGTGCAAGAACAGCCAGGAAAAGCCTGGCTGATGTATCCCAGGTAGCAATTCCTGCTCTAGCGTGTGGATGCTGAAATAGTGCTGCCTGTGTTAGAAATGCCTTGTGCTGTCACTGCTATGCTGCTGCCAATCTAATTACTTTTTCTTTTGTCTGTCTCTTTCCTTTCCCCATCTTCCTTGTCTGTTTTTTTTTTTTTGTGTTGTGTCTCTGCATCCTGCAGTACAAATCCGTGTTTAGGTCCTACTCCCAGGACTTTGTGCCTCACAACCAAGTCTCCATACCTCCTTTCCTCTCTTCTACCTCCTCCTCCTGCTCCACTCCGCCTTTCCCGCCCGTCCATGTGTCCCAGAGCCCCGACCTAGCGGTGCCCACTGCAGCCAGCCAGTCACCCAGCACTGTGGATGTGCCAAACTCCTCTTCTCAGGAGAGCAGCTTTAATGGGAGTGCTCCTGTCTGCCTTCCTTCTGAAACCTCTTTCACTGATTCTCTCCAGACGCCTTCGGTGAGACCATCCAAAGGGATGATGATAACGCGCCTTCACGCAAGGCTGCCTTTGTTTGTTGGGGTTTTTCTTTCAAAGAAAGTGTCTCTTGTATTATTACATGCTAAATTGTGGTCTGGTCTGGTTTCCAAATGTGTGTGGATTGAAGAGAGGAAATTTCATGTAAAAATGGACAGCCTCAGCAGGTTTTAGAAAATGTTACACAGATATAGGAAACACAAAATGTCAAATGCTGGTGAAGGGGAGAGTTGGCTGTAGCTTCCTGCAATTGTAAGATAAAGCTGAGGGAGGTAAAGGAGTGTTCTGTGAGGTTGGTAGTTACTAAATGCAGGCTCCTAACAGCAGTTCACATCCTGCAGTTGCCACCTGCTCCCTTCTGAGTCACCAGGAGCAGTGGGTCCAGTCCAGCTCTGTCTCTCCTGTGCATAAAGCCTATTGTTCTCTCCAGGTTCCTGCTCTTCCCAGTCCCCATCAGCCCCAGCTGTGTGCTTGGTGGCAGGTTGTCATATGTTGGTGAAGTGAGGCTAACACTGTTCCCACTCTGCTAGTTTGAGGTCCCAGATCCCTTTGCACATCACTGAGCAGGTCTGTCCATTACAGATACTTTTTTGAACACCTCATTTTCAAGACAGTTCCTCTTCCGTCCGCTGCGAAGCCGAGAGTTGATGGGATTAGAGCTGTCAGCACAGGGCATGCTAGTACTGCCTCTCTGCCAAGTTTGGAAGAGGGTCACTGATTGGAGAGTAAATGTGCAGCTTTTCACGCTTTGGATGTGACCTTGCTTTGCATCTTCCTTGCACTGGGTCCTTGTTATATCCCAGCAGGCCTCGAGTTTGGTGTGTTCTGGTCTGATGGGTCTAGTCCATGCTTGTAGCCTAGTTTGGTGGATACCTTTGATGCCCATGGGGCTGAGGGCTGGTCTGCACTCACCAAGACTGCCCTGGCTAGGACAGGAGCTCTGTGTCCAGCTCTGAACATTCCGCTTCCAGCACCTTGAAATCCGCCCGCTGCACCTTGGCACTCTCACCTGGAGCCCACAGCTCTTGCAAAGCTGTGCCTGCTGCTGCCCAGGGCCCTCAGGATAGTCCTCCAGAGCCAGAAATAATGATCCCCAGGATGGTGCAGCCTCAGTGGCCGCTGCTGGCCACAGAGACAGAGAACAGCTCCGAAGGAGGTGACAGCAGCTGCCAGGGCTGTTCTGCTCGAAGGTTCTGTCTGCCACAAAGCGCTGGTGGGGGGCACCATCACGTATCTCCTTTCATCCTGTCTCCCTCAGAGTGAAAACGCCAGTGAGGAGGCTGGTGAGGGTGAATATGTCAATCTGTATTCCTCTGGCCAGAGCAACGGGGAACTCCCAGGCTCTGAAGGAGTAAGTAAAGCCCGAGAGGGGCTGCCCTGCCCGGTGCATGCGCCTGCACGGGGCTCCTCTGCACACCCTGTCTGTCCCTCTGCTGCCCCAGCCATCCCTCTGCTTGCCCACTGCTGGCTGCAGGTCTGGGGGCCCTCTTGGTGCAGGTGCAGAGCAGGAGATGCTTTTGGGGTGATGCTGAGCCCTGACAAGAGTCAGGGATGGCTTCTCCTGCTTCGCTGCTGTTTGGAGCTGCTTGCGTGGAGTTCCCTTGCAGAGAGCTGCACCCTGAGCCATCCTGGGGCCACATCTTTTCTTGTGACTGCTTTGCCTTCCCTATTTTAATACAGAAAGCCTTCTGCACTAAATACTTATTTTTTTCCTTCACTGTTTGGTTGCAGAGTGAATGATTGATTTAGCATTGTACTCACACGCTGTTTCTTCCTTTACCCAAGCCTTGTATCTTAGATATTTCCTAGAGGAGCCAGGGCGTTTTCCATTCCAGGGAGGTCCCATCTTCCTGTTGGGTCATAGGAAACTGGCAGCAGTGTGTGGTGATCCTTTTGCCTGCCCTCCTCTTGGAAGGCACATCTCCTGCAGGATGTGTCCAAGACCTTTATCCATGGTGGTGTTAAATACGCCAAGAGATAGTGCTCCCATCACTTCCCCTCAGGAGACACATCTGGGCAGGCCCATCCTTTTGGGCAGCTCTGAGCAGATTCTCAGCTTTGAAGCAAAGGGCTTTACACAGATAGAGTCTGGAAAAATCCTGCAGACCCCAAGGAAGCCAGGCTCAGCTGGGTGTTTCCATGCTGGGTGGTTTCAGTCCTGTCTGTTCGCCAGGTTTGCATTTCCAAGCTTCACTCTGCATGATGTTAAATAATTCTGAACTCTGACACTTTTGGATTAATATTCCCATTTGCTGTTCATGGCTGTTTGTCTCCTTAATAAATGGCTAATTTAAAATGCTGTATCTTTGCTCTGAGCTCTCTACCTGCTGTTCCGTGCCGCGGGTTCAGCTGGTTCTGCTTTTCTGCATTAGCCTCATTTCCACAGCCCTGAGTCGTGGAGTGGAAACCTTGCATCATTGCAAAACCTCTTGTGATGGGAGAGGAGGGAGGTAGGGAGCAGCGAGCATCCACCCCTGAGGCAGGGGGGCTGTGGTCAGGAGGGGAACTGAAACTGGAGAGCTTCGAGCTGATCGTGTCTGTTTGGATTAAAGCAGGAGGCAAAGTGTATTTCAACAGGAAGGGCTGGAGGAAAAATAAAAGGTCATGAGAGGGTTAAAATCCAAGACAACAGCTGACTTATGTTGTAACTTTCAGCATCATTTCACAATGTTAAAAGCAAACAGTACTAATTACACTAGTCTCCAGAGATGGTCCCAAATTTCCTGTCTGATTAACTTCTGTGTTTTCCTGGCATTTGGCATTAACTTGCATCAATCTTTAACTGCTCTGTAGGAATTTACAGTAAAGGGCCATTTAGAGGCAGGCAGACTGTAAATGCAAGGCTGGCTGGGCTCAAGGACCCCGTGTAATGATGAAAAACTCCTTTCTCTTGGCAGGAATCTCCCCCTGTCAAAGATGGCCCCTCCAAAGACTCGGCTTTGAACAGCAGTGCCATGGGCAAGGAGGGCAAAGATGGTGCTGAAAGGTGAGCCTTGACCCCTGGTGTCCTCCTTCCATGTTCAGAGAGTGCAGAGCCCCAAGATCCCCTCAGCCAAACCATCCTTGGGGTGCCTGGTGTGCCCTAACCCTCCTCCATGTTGTCTAAACCTTTAAGCCGACTTGGTTTGCACAGCCAGTGTTTGATGGGATCCTGAATGCAGAGAACCCTGGCAGGATGTCCTTGCTGAGCTCAGGGAGCCCCTGGGGTTAATGCAGCCTGTGTTGGCACCCTCAGTCCATGTCAGTGGCTGTGCTGTCCCTGACACTGGCTGCTCCCTCCTGCTTCCAGGGAAATGTGTGACAAGAATCTGTATTTGCTGTTTGGAATCATCTTCCAGAGGGAAATTTCTTCCCAACCCTGCTAGTTAGAGGCTGGCTGAGGCCCTGGAGCAGGAGCTTTATATCCCTGCTAATGCTCTTAGCTGTCATTTGCCTATGTAAATGAAGAGGTGCAAGCTGGAACAGATGGGCTTCAGGAGGAGTGGAGTGAGTGCTTCCCTGCTGCTCGAGATTGCTCTTCAATTGCATTTCTAAAGCAAAAACAGAGAGCAGCAGTTGATTTGTGTGTGACAGTCAACTTCCCTCCCCCATTTTCCTGCAGTTGGTTTGAAGGTTTTAATCCCTGCAGTGAAGGAGACAACACAAGAGTGCTCTGCAGAGCTCACTATCTGCCCAAAATATTGACTGGTGCACAGGATTTTGGCCTGGGGAAAGCCATGAGGAACATAAGTACTTTGGTTTGGGTTTTTTTAGAAATACAGGCACAGAGAGGACATGTCCTGGCACAAAAGTACCAGCCTTTGGGGGTAGGAATGACCAAAAAAATGGTCATGATTTTCTGCTCTATTTTCCCTGTCATCTCCCCTTGTCTCAGCACAGCAGGTCATGAACTGACTAAGATGTGCATGAGGAGAGTGTGCTCAGTCTCTGTACACTTGAGGAAGGGCTTAGATTTGTGTGCACTAAAAATTTGGTGGATTAAGGAGACATGGAAGTGTGTACTTATAGTAAAATCCTGTCTGCCAGAAATGCAGACTGACAAGTGTTCACGTCCTGAAGGTTTATCTTTCTCTTTTTCAAGAGATGCACAAAACAACAGAGTTAGAGAGAGACATTTGGGCTTGTTTGCAAAAGATTTACCTCCAGAGTGTCTGTGTACTTACTGTCATTTGGTGAAGGTTATTTCCCTTTTCTTTGTCACAGGCAGCCACAGTCACCAGATGCTTTGGAGTCATCACAGCTGGAGGAAGAGGTAGATGAGCTGTCCCTTATTGACCACAGTGAAATCATGTCCAGATTAACACTGAAGCAAGAGGTAGGTGCATTCAGGGTTTGTTTGGTTTACTCTGAGTTGAAATCTGATTCTGTGTGCACAAACAAGGCATCAGCTTTTATTAGATAGGAAAAACTAGGTTGCAGCAGAAGTGGGGTGTGTGTGAAGGCTGCTGTTCAAGTATGAGGTGCTGGTACAGGCAGGGAGCACCAGCAATGAGTGAGGGTTTGACAAAAGGGGAGATGTCTCCCTAAAAACCAGCACATCCTGTGCCCTTTTCCCAGTCTGCCCTTTCCCTCTTCAGCCTCTGACAGTCTGAAATGAATCACTGAGAGCCTGAGCACAATCCATCCTGGTGGGTGATTGTGCTGACCTTCCACTCTGAGGGCAGGTTCAGCAGGTGAATGAGCAGGACATGATGTGGAAAAGCAGCCAAGGAGTTGTGTCTGTGTTTGAGAAATGGCTCTGTGTCTAGCCCTGGGTGCACTCCCAGCCAGCTTTGCTCCCTGTGCTCCTGAGCTGCCTGTGCCCTGCAGCTGGGGGGAACCTTGTGAAGCTCGCAGACTGTCAGGGGGCTTGGCTGGAAAACAGAGAATGGATCATTGAGTGGCATTCAGGGGTGTTCTCTGGTCAGCTGAGATGTGCAGGAGACAGTGAGGAGCTTTTACATGTTCTCTAAGTAGTTTCATGAGTCTTGCCAGAGGGTCACCTGAAAAATTCACATCTTAGAGCTGCTCCTGGCTGTAATTCATGTTTCACTGTTTTCCACATTGAAAAGCTTAAGACATTCCTAGGGGAAGACAGACACAACTCCAGCCTCCTCTGACTGATTGTTTCCTTTAAAAAACATATAAAAATCAATGATTTCTGAACATTTGTGACTAGCAGATATGTGTCTTAATGTCCTTTTTCTTTCTTTTCTTTTTGATCTGTGTGTTTGAAGCAGTATAGACCTGTCACTGGGAGCTGCTTCCTGCAGTGTGGGAACTGCTGGCTGAGCCCTGGATCAGTTTTGCATATTTTGAGTTGTGAAATGGCAGTAGCTAGAAAAAAGATATGTTTTAGAGAGTGGTAGTGCAGGGGTCAAGCAATTAGCAGGGCTGTTTTCTTCTGCCAGTTATTGGATCATTTCAGGTGACCTCTGGCCAAATGGCTCCAGATTAGGGCATTAACTGCTGGGTTTTGATGTTCCAGGAGCATGCAAGCTGAATGCATGACCTCCCACCCCAGAGCCACTGTGCTACGTGATCCTGCACTCTGAGGCAGCTCACACAGTGCTGCTGCCCTGCTCATGGGAGGATTTGTGGCATTTCTGCTCATTCTCCTCTGGGCAGAAGGTTCAGCCTCCCCTGAGCTGCACAACCTGGCCTTAGGGAGACCCTGAGTGAGGATCAGCCCAGCTCCTCCTCTGGGGCACCAAATGCTCTGTGCAGATTCCAGGATTATCCCAGCACTGGGCTCCATGTCCCAGCTTGTGCTGCCAGCAGTGCCAGGAACACTTTGTGTGCTGCCAGTCGTTGCTGAGCTGGAGTCTCAGCCATGTTAAACCAGGCCTGAGGGAGCTTGGGCCCTGCCTGACGTGGTTGTGTTGCCATTGCAGGGGGATGATGGGCCAGATGTCCGAGGTGGATCTGGGGACATTCTCTTGGTGCACGCCACAGAGACCGACAGGAAAGGTAGGTGGGGCACAGGGCACGGCCTGGCACGGCCTGGCACGGCCTGGCACGGCCTGGCACGGCCTGGCTGCCTGTCTGCGCACTGACAGCTGGGCTGGGGGAGCCTGCAGGGATCCCCTGAGCCCGGGGGGTTGTGTTTATCTCTGGGAGATGGAGGTAAGCTGGATAAGCCCCTGGTGGTTCCATTTAGCAGCAGGGATGGGATTAACTCCCCCCAGCCCTTGCCTGGATCTGGCACAGCAGTGACAGTGCTGTGTCCCTGTACCTGCTGAGCTGGGCCACTGCCTCTTGTGAGAGCAGGTGTGACCAGCCTGGATCTTGTTTCCAGAGGTGCTCCTTGTCCTCTGAATTTCAGGGCATTGGTGCTGTAGGAGTTATGGAATGGTTGTTCATCAAAGCAGGAAAAAAGGGATATTGGTTTGGGTGTAATGCAGTACCTGTGGGCACTGGGAGGCTGCCCAGGTGCTGCTCTGCTGACACCCTGTATTTTCAATTCATTGTGCCACCTCCTGTCCCTCTCTGTACCACTTGTGTCCTGGCAGCCACCCAGACCAGTTCAGAGAGGGAATCCACAGTACAAAAGGAGAGATCTGGGGGAGGAGAAGGCACATTAGCAACCCTGAGCTCCAGATTTGTTAAAACCCCTCTTCATCTGCCCAAACCCAGGCACCAGACACATGAGGCAGCTCCTTTCCAAGACCTGTGGCAAAGACAGCCTTTGCAGTGTTTCCAGAGAATTATTTGAACCTGCCAAACACATTTGTGCTGATGGCCTTAACCAGGATTGATCTCCTTATCTCCTGGGAGGCAAAGCACTAACCTCTGAATCGCTCAGTGCTCAGTTTAGAGGTTGATAGTCAAAGGGGAAATATCTTTCATGTACATTTTTAAATGACAGGGGTTTCACTGTAGCGTAAGATGTTTGCAATTACTTACCAGCACCATTCAGCTAGCCAGAAAATCCTTCCCCTGACAGCTGTGTTTCCCAGTCTGCACGGGCATAGAATGCAGGCAGAAAGGACCAAAGATAGGAACACACCCGAGAGGAGGAGGCAGTTGATTGTGCCAAGGCTGGAAATGTATATTAAAGAAAAGTCTAAATGAGATGGTGGAAAAACCCCTCATAAACATGCTGAAAGTGAGGTAGAGAAATTTCTAAACTTCTTGTTTTCTGGAATAAGTGTGACAACAAAAAACTCCCCTACTCTTCCTACTGAAACACAGCTGCCTGGTGAGGGGGTGAGTGCTGGACCTGCAGTTCATGAACAGGGGGCTCTGAGGGCTCTGCAGGCAGTGGGGTGAGAACTATGGAGAGCCTTTCAGAGCTGGGAGAAGCCAGAGCAGGATTTAATGTGCCCAGTGGTGCAGCTGTGCAGAGCTGGGGCAGGGGACAGTTCCCGTGCCTGAGCTCAGCCTGCCAAGCCAGGGCTGAATGGAGCACAGAGGAATTTGTGCTATGCTAACCCACTGCTTGGGTGACTGAGAGGGTTAATGAATTAAGCTTACAATGAGAAGAATTCCAGGCTTGTAAATCAATCAGCCAAAGGCACAGAGGGGTAGAGTTAAGAGGCTTTCCTTTAAAGATGAATTTCTTGGCAGCTTCGAGTGCCAGAGCAGACCAGCTGTATTACCTCACGTTGCCTTTTGGGCAGATGGGAACCCAGAATAAATGTAACTCCACGCCCTGCTGCATGATGCTTCTTGTCCATTTGAGTTTTCTGAAAAAGCTAAATGGCATAAGGGATAAAGAGAGACCTGTGGTCTTCAGGAATAAAATCCCTGGTCAGTTGAGTGCTCACAGCCACACACACTTGCTGTGAGTGCAGGGTTAGGGCTGGACAAGGCCTGGTGTGAGCACTCAGGCTCTGTTCTGTCACCCAGAGGCTGCAGCACTCCTGATTTCAGGGCAGGAGGAAGGTGCGGTTGCTGCCAAGAGAAACAGAGCAGGTAGAGAGGCAGAGCTCTCCCTCTGTGCCCTGCTCCTTCCACCTCCCAGCAGTGGCTGTTGCAGCCCGTGCCTGTGGGGTGATGCCTGCTCTGGCTGGGACAAGCCCTGCATGTGCAGCCCAGCCTGGGCAGGCACAGCAGGAGCTCTTGGCAGGGCAGGATGCCATCCCTGGTGCCCTGCCCACCCTGCCCCTTGTGCAGAGCTCCTGGCAGGGGCACAGTGCCATCCCCTGCACACCCTGCTGCCCTGCCCCTGCTCTGTGCTGCCACTAATCCCCAGTGCTCCCATTTTGGCACTCCTGTCCACAGGGACCAGGCATTGGCACTCCAAGTGCTCTGCAGTCTTGACCTGACATCTGCATTCCTGTTTGCAGTTTGTGCTTTCTTCAAATTCCATCCCCTGTGCCCATGATAATGCCCAAAGCCTTTGCAATTCCAGGCCCTGCAGCAGCTTGTCCTGCAGGTGGATCAGCACAGGCTGTGTGCACCCATCTGTGTTGGGACAGCATCAGTTTTTGCAGTGCAATTTGCTTTTCTTTTGGCTGGAAATAATCTTCTATTTACACTGTCCTGGCATGGATTTCGTGGAACTCAGCAAGGGCAGAGGATCTGCAGCACCAGAGCATGTGCTGAAACATGTGTGTTTCTCATTGGGAGGGCAGAGTCACCTGCCTGAGCCCCAGAGACAGAGCAGGCATCACCTCTTGCCATCAGATCATCTTTTTTAAACATCTCCAAGGTCTGAACTACGTTTTTCCCTGACACATTATTGATAGCTCCTGTCCCACAAGCAGGTGTTTTTCACTGACCCCTTTATGAGGCACAAGCCCGAGTGGGAGCCGGGGCCAGCCCGGTGGGGACAGGGCAGTGTCACTGCTGCTCCTGTGCCAAAGGGTCCATCTGCTGGTGAGGACCAAGAGCACAGCCTTCCTGGGAAGTTCACTCACACCAAAGCGTGTCCCTGTCCTCCTCTGTACATCTGCATTCAACTTCACAAGAAGCTCCTTTTTCTGAAAGCAGGGTTGACTGAAGCTTTTTTGCTTTTCCCCCAGATCTGGTGCTGTACTGTGAAGCCTTTCTGACCACATACAGGACATTCATTACCCCTGAAGAGCTCATCAAGAAGCTGCAGTACAGATATCCTTTCATGAGAAGCTGTTCACTCCCATCAGGAGTCAGAGCTGGATGGTCAGTGTGGAGGGAGCTGGTGACAAGGTTTTTGGTCAAAAGCCTGCTGGCAGCATGGTCAGGGATGTGCTGGCCCTGGTGTGTCCCAGGCAGGAATTCCTTCACCTCCGCCCTCTCCAGTGGGAATTACTGCAGGGCAGGTCCAGTCACAGTGGATACTGGACCTGAGTTGCCTCCTGAGGGTCCTGGCAGGGTAGAGGAGCAATTCAGGTTTTTTTGTGTGTCACTGGGGAAATGTGTTTTATTTGGGACATCTCATTTGTGGAGTGGGGACCAGAGAACCTTCTGCCTTCCAGAGGAGCCATGGGCATTGCCTGTGTGGGCAGGTGTAGTTTAATATTAGAGATGATTGAACCATCAAGGCTTTCTCTCTCTTACTACAATAAACTCAGCCCTGAAGATGCTCTTGGCCTCCCAGCCCTGAGCTGAGCTTGTGCCTGGTAACCCTGACGTGCAGGGTGAGCATTCCTGGCACAGGATGGAGAGGGGCTCTCCCTGAGCACCCTGCTGCCTTTCCCTGCCCCTGGCTCTGTTCCCTGCCAGCAGAGCAGGGCAGGCTCTGGTGGCCCTGGTGGCTGTGGTGGCTCTGGTGGCTCTGGTGGCCCTGGTGGCCCTGGTGGCTGTGGCTCTGTGCAGCCACGTCAGAGGCAGCCTGACGTCACCGTGTCCTGCTGCAGCTCGTCAGTGCCATCTGCAGCAGAGCTGCTGCTCTGGATCAGCAGCCAGGGACACAGCACGGCTCAGCCAGGTGACAATCCTGCCTGGGCTACCCTGCCAGTGCTGCCTTACTGATAACCTTGTTCTCTGTCCCTTTGTCCACCTGGCAGAAGGTTTTTCAGCCTGTGCTGTCGCCCCTGTCACTGTTCTCCTTGCAGCAGATTGGGCAGCCAGGAAGGTGGAGGTGACATCTGAGATCTGTTGAGAGCAGATGTCACAGACCAGTGGGGGAGATCACCGTGGGGAAGTGCTGCTCATTAAGTGCCACCTTAGAGAGAACAATTTCAGGGTACACCTGCTCTCAGTTCTGTGAGGTGTCAGTTCCTCCTCACAACCCTGCTACCAGCAGCTGGTGTCAGTTTATGCCATCTCAGAGCCATCTCAGTGTCCCTTATCTCCTGGAAATCAAACACCAGTTTCCATCAGGACAGAACAGTGTTCTGATGTGGGTGCCCCATCCCTGGCAGTGCCCAAGGCAAGGCTGGATGCAGCCTGAGCAACGTGGGACAGTGGAAGGTATCCCTGCCCATGGTAGGGAGTGGAACTGGATGATTATTAAGGTACTTTCACCCCAAATCAATGATTTTACAATTCCTTGAGGCAGTTGGGAATTGCACTGATGCTGGTCTGGCTACCCTGAGTTAATTCTTTAATTTACAACCAACATATGAGAAGTTTTGCCACTTCCCAGACACGTTCAAGAAGAGAGTCAGTAAGAACACCTTCTTCGTGCTGGTGAGAGTGGTGGATGAGCTGTGGTGAGTTCCTTTCTTCATTTTGGGATGTAGAGTCAGTAACTCACAGAAACCTGGCAGCTGGGAAAATGTGGTTTTTAGGGAAGATGTATCTTTTTAATCCAATCTGTAATGACAGCTGAAATCCCCCAACCCTGACCAGTGGGACACCTGTAATGCTGAACTCTGTTGGAAGAACAGATTGTTCCTGTGTGTCCTAAATGGGTCAGTGGTTTGGAAATAACAAATAAAAGGAGAATCTCTGGGAAAGAAAGAGCTGAGAAGAAGAGAAATTTCTGTTGGTAGGAAAGAGCAATGAGACTCAGTACAGATACAAACCCCTAGAGCTCAGTGTCTCAGCTCTGATGCCTTCCCTGCATTTTCCACCTTCCTCCCAGCTTGGTGGAGTTGACAGAGGAGATCCTCAAGCTGCTGATGGACCTGGTGTTCAGGCTGGTGTGCAGTGGGGAGCTGAGCCTGGCCAGGGTGCTGCGCAAGAACATCCTGGATAAGGTGGATCAGAAGAAAATGCTGAGCTACGCCAACTCCATCAAACCTCTCGCAGCCAGAGGGGTGGCAGCCAGGTGAGGAGAGGTGTCTGTGACCACACCTGTGTCCTCTGAGAGCCAGGGCAGCCCTTCCCTGGGAACACAGGAGTTCCCTCAGTTCAAAATACAAGAAAGATAAGAAAACAGGTCACGTTTTCTGAGCCTTGGTACTTCCCGGTTGTTTTCCACAGGCCAGGGACACTGCATGATTTCCACAGCCATGAAATAGCTGAGCAGCTGACCCTGCTGGATGCTGAACTCTTCTATAAAATCGAGGTACAGAGATGAGGGTGGGCTGAGGGCAGTGGGAGGGTTTGGACCTTCTGCCAGCTCTCCCAGACACCTGCTGGACTGTAGGACACAGCTGATCTTGTGCCAGCAAGTGCCTGTGAGCACAGGCTGCAGCTGGGAATCTCGGGGTAGAAATCCCATTTTAATGTGTGGTATTTTCTCACCCCTCTCCTCTCCTTCCTTGGCAGATTCCAGAAGTTCTGCTTTGGGCAAAGGAACAAAATGAAGAGAAGAGTCCCAACCTGACACAGTTCACAGAGCACTTTAATAACATGTCCTACTGGTAAGGAGCTCAGAACGTGGCACTGAACTGTGCCTAACCTCCAGTGCCTTGCAAATATTCCAAGTATTCCTCATAGACTTGGGTTCCTTTGTTACAAATGGGATAATTTGTATTTTTGGCCAGGAAGTAAATGCAGAGCACTCATCTAAAACCCCAGAGCACAGCAGAAATAAAATAAGGAGGGTCTTGTAATCCAGAGGAATTAATTATCAGTATCACTGAGCTCTTGAAACAAACATTCCCCTTGCAAATAAATGCATTCTGTGACAGTATCTTGTCTTTGCTGTGGATTAGAGTGCTCCATTTAAGTTTGAGGTATTGTGAACATTTTTGCATTGACCCATCCCTATTAGTGATCAGTTTTCTTAATGAAACAAGAGGAAATCTGATCTCTGCTTAAGTAGGTTTATCTTTTATTCTGTCTGTTCTTCCAGGGTCCGTTCAATAATTATGCTACAAGAGAAAGCCCAGGACCGAGAGAGGCTGCTCCTTAAATTTATAAAGATTATGAAGGTACCAGTTTGTTTTTTCCTGTGAATCACACACACTGCTGTTCAAAGGGGCAGGGGAGTGGGGTCCTCTGCTTGCTAGAGCTGTTTGATGCTAGAAGGCTTTTCAGAGCTCTCGAGTAACTGGAATATTCTCCCTCCTGACAGCACTTACGAAAGCTGAATAATTTTAATTCCTATCTGGCCATTCTTTCTGCACTGGATTCTGCACCCATCCGAAGGCTGGAGTGGCAGAAGCAAACCTCAGAGGTGAGGAGCAGTGGGGCCTGTGGTCTCTGGGGGAAGGCTGAGTGTGGTTATGTGTGAAACAGCTGAGTGGTTTTACATCCCAGCAGTGTCCCAGGGCGGAGAGATGGTGGATAACTCCTCTCCAGTGGGTAAAATGCCACAGTGCTGGAAGCCTTCAGCGTGGCTGGGCATTCTGACAGCTGCAGGACTGCCAGCACAGTCACAGGGGACAACAGCCTCCTCCTCCTCCTCCTGCAGCCCAAGGCTGGGGGAGGCTGAAGGCAGCAATGTGAACACCCCAGGGTTGGGCTGAGTAAATCAGCTGGACGTGTTTGCAGGATGGCATGCACTCCCTGCTCTGTGTGGCTCTCAGGGGGGAGGTGACAGGGAGAATGGCTTTGCAGCAGGGGTGTCAGCAGGGGATTTGTGTGCTGCAGGGCCTGGCTGAGTACTGCACCCTGATCGACAGCTCCTCGTCCTTCCGCGCCTACCGAGCGGCCCTGGCCGACGTGGATCCCCCCTGCATCCCCTACCTGTGAGTGCAGCTCCTCCCCTGACACTCAAATGCACATTCAAATGCCTCTTTCAAGGGCTTCTCAGCAGCTGCTGCTGAGCTCAGCCCTTGCCTTTTGCCCAGCCCCTGGGGTAAGGCAGCACCGTGCCACATCAGCCCATGGGTGCTCTCTGCAGCAGTTTGGCTGGGGCTGTTTGCATCTCAACACCTTTGGATCTGCTGCTGGGGAATGTTTCCCTTTGGATAAGGTTGCCATTCTGGTGGCAGTGGGAGGCTGTTGGATTTTGTTTTGCTGCCTTTTGGCTGGCCACCCTGCCTTTTGTGACTAACCTCTGTGTCTGTTTGCCTTCTCCCTTGGCCTGCTACCCCTTTCCCTCTTTCAGAGGCCTGATTCTGCAGGACCTGACCTTTGTCCATCTGGGAAACCCTGATTACATTGACAGCAAAGTGAACTTTTCCAAGCGCTGGCAGCAGTTTAACATCCTGGACAGCATGAGGTGCTTCCAGCAAGTGTAAGTGCAGCAGTGGGGCTGGCTCAGAGGTGGGGACTGGGGCAGGGGCTTGGGCATGGGAGCCCCTGGGCAAGGAGAAGGGAGTCTAAAAGGGAAGGGAGTTGGAAGGAGAGCTGGGAATAACAGGGCTCTAATCAGTCTCCTTCCTTCTCTAGGTTAGATAAACATTTAAGGGCATTTTTCTGATATTAGTTTTGAGATCCAGATAAGTTTTGCCTTCAGGTTTTGCCGTTGCTGGTTCCTGTGTTCTCTGGGGTATTTGGGGTTTTCTTCAGTGCTGTCTCGCAGCCGAGGCAGCAGATCTAACTGCTGATTTCTATGTGATAAGTGCTTTTTCCCCTCAATTCAGCAGCAGGTTTTCCCCTTTGTGGTGTGACACCACTGCCATGAGCACAGGGCACAGCCCACACACAGTGCTGGGTGTCCTCAGAGCAGGACAGGGACAGGGGTGGCCCAAAGGCAGGAGAGGAGCCCAGGCAGCCCTTGTGTAACAGCAGCTCCTCTGTGGCTTTCCAGACATTACGACATCAAAAGGAACGACGACATAGTGTCATTCTTCAACGACTTCAGCGACCACCTGGCTGAGGAGGCCCTGTGGGAACTGTCGCTGAAAATCAAACCGCGGAACATCACGAGGCGGAAAACAGATCGGGAAGAGAAAACCTAGGAGGAGGGGCTGTGCGAGGAGAATCGCTCCGCAGAGGCGCCGAGGGCAGCTATGAGACTGGAGTTCAATGTTTGTACCTGTCACTGGATGACACACCCTCCCTCCCAGCTGGCAGCCAGCCCTGGGGGTGGCCATGCCGGCCGGCGCAGCCGCCGAGGGCAGAGATCGATCGGCCGGAGCTCGCTGCACTCGCCCTCCTCCTCCTCCCGCCCCTCTGTGCCATGAACCAGCTTTAACCCCGGGGACAGAGCTGTGTGGAAGGAGTGTCCCACGCCAGCGTGACGCTGGCTTGCTGGCCTGTTGCATTCAGGTGTACCCTGGCTCTTGTTTCCATCCCGAGCAGGGGCAGCAGGAGCTCAGCGCCCACTGACTCGTGTCCGGAGCGGCGTCGGGCAGCAGCCAAGGAAGCCAAGGGTTGGAGTCTCCCCTGCAATGCCACCTGCCCAACGTGTTCGTGAGGATGGAAGTGTCTCCTGCTGCCTGCCAGAGGAGCTCTGCTTCCAGAGAGCTGCTTGTGTTTACAGGGGTCTCGGCTCACCCCAGATCTCTGGGCCTTCTTCACGGCAGGAAGGCACCGGTCGTAGATGCAGAAGAGGCACTGAAAATGTGGGCAGGGACCCGCCATCTCCAGTCATCACATCCCCCTCCTCCTCTCAGATCTCGTTATTTAAGCAACAGTAAATCCCTCTGGACCTGGAAACACGGACTGCCCAGGTACTGGGGGTCACCTGCCTGTGCCCCCGTGTCTCTTAGCGATGGTACTTAGCTTTTGCACAGGAAATGCTGTAGGATACAGACTGTACATACCTAGTGTTTAGAACCCCTGGGGATTTTTGATGCATGTCTGAATACCCATGAGTTTATAGGAAAAAAAAACAAAAACAAGACAAGTGCAAACCAGTCTGTATAAAATCCACAACCAGTGACAATGTTGTTCCGAGTGCTGGATAAAGGAGGCTCGGGGCAGCCAGGTGGGCACTGGCTGCAGAGCAGGGGCTGGAGCCTCCTGAAGGAGCCAATTCTGGGTTGGGAACCAGGAAGGAGCCCTGTGCCCAGCTGAGCCACCCTGTCCTCCCACCCACTCCTCTCTCCTCTCTCTGTTGCCAAATGTTTTTCTCTGGGGGTCCCTGTTGGACCCTCAGTGCTGTGCTTTGAGAGCTGTGCTTTGGCAGGACCCCCAGCCAGTCCCTGTCCCCAGTCCTGCTGCTGCCAGCAGGGCAGGGACAGCCCAGCACGGAAGGGCAAGGCAGGGGTGTCATTTCCCACACACACAGTGTTAACCCCAATCTGTTCAGTGTGCCTTATTCAGCCCTTGTGTCCCCCTCTGTGTCCCACCCAGCACAGCCCCAGCCAGGCCGTCTCACATCCCTCCTCTGTCCTGCTCCAGTGGTTTGCAGTTGGGTCGTGGGTGTGAGTGTGTCCTGCAGGTTTTGCCAGACGCTCCTCAGCTCCCTGTCATGTTGTCACAGGTTTTTTACAGGGTTCTGACAAAATCCTGCACATTTAGGGCAGTAGCTTCCAAGGAATACAGAGATGGAGTTTCACAGAGCATCCTTAACTTATTTCTCAATAGCAGCTCTGTGCCTGCTAAAGCCTCTGTTTGTTCTGGGTGAATCAGAGCTGCACTCCTTTCCTTCTCCAAACAGATTGCAAAGCCTTGGCCAGCTCTGCCTGGCTCTCAGGAGGGAGTGACAGCCCAGGGTATAACCCTGCTTTGTTATTTTCCTGAGCACTCAGGCACGAGGCTCACACAGTGGCCAAGCACAGAGAGACCCCCTGCCCATGAGGGCAGCCGGGGGAGGGCAGTGCGGGGTCCAACATAGTTCTGTGCAGCCCCAGAGCAGGAATTGTTCATGCTGAACCACGGTGTCTGAGCCAGAACACTTCAAAAGTTGTTTATTTTCATGGCACTGAGGGCATTGGAGCCGTGTGTTCTGTCCAGCCAAGGCTTTGCAATCCCCAGAGGCTTCCCAGGAAGTAATGTCCACATTTCCTTTGTAAATAAGATCTTTTAAAAGCCCAGCATGGTGAGAAGGGTGATGAATACACCCAGGATGTGGTGTGGGCTTTGCCCTGGTGGCTCTGGAGTCACAGCCCTGGGGGTTCAGGGGGACAGGAGGGGGCAGCTTGTCTTTACCCAGCTGAGTTACCTGAGGGGTGAGCAAGTGGCTCGGGCACACAGGACACCCCAAAACTGGCACTGACTGGGGTTCCACAGGGCTCCACCCCTGGCCCTGTGCTCTTCAGCATCTTCACTGACAACCTGGACACAGGACTGGAAGGGATACCAAGGAACTTTGCTGACAACACTAAATTTGGGCACCACGATATAAAAGAAGATATTAAGCTATTAGAGAGTGTCCAAAGGAGGCCACAAGGATGGGGAAGGGTCTGGAGGGGCCTCGTGAGGAGCAGCTGAGGGCACTTGGTTTGTTCAGCCTGGAGGAGACTGAGGGGGGACATTGTGGTCTTCAGCAGCCTCACGAGGGGCAGGTGCAAATCTCCTCACCTGTGAGCAGTGACAGGACCCAAGGGAGCAGCTGCAGCTGTGCAGGGAGGTTTAGATTGGAAATCAGGAAAAAGTTCTTCCCCCAGAAGGTGGTGGGGCACAGCACCAAGCCTGTCTGAGATCAAGAAGTGTTTGGATGGGATTTTTGGGCTGTCCTGTGCAGGGCCAGGAGTTGGGACTTGGTGATCCCGATGGATCCCTTTCAAGTCAGCAGATTCTGTGATCCCCAACCAGCAGGAGCCATTTCAAGGTTCTTCCCTGCACTTGAGCCCACAGTTAGCACCAAAGGAGGTTTAGGTCTCTGCCCTCTGCCTACCCCCAGAGCTGGAGGCTCAGCCCATGCTGTGGGGATGGGAGCTCTGAGTGCCCCCAGCTTTCCTCCCCCTTCACCCCTTCCTCTGTCATCCCCAGCTGAGCAGTGTCCCAGCCACAGCTCCTGGCTCGTGTCCCACCCTCAGGCCAGGCTGGAGGGACCCTAGAGGAAGGTCCCCTGCCTGGAGCACTTCAGGTTTGCTGACCAGAGACCCCCCCATCTCCAGGAGCAGAAACCCAGAACATCCTTGTGCAAGAGTGGCCATGAGCGTGTCCCCGTCTTGCAGGCAGCATCCTCAAGGCCATCACCTCTTTCTGGGGAGAGGGAAGAGTCTGAGTGCCCTCTCCACACGGGGCAGGGAGTGGGGAGAAGCCATGCCCCCCGTCACCAGCCCCCTGCCCCGGGCCTCTCCCCCAAGCAGTTCCGTTGTATTATAGATTTACCACTAACCCCCATGGTGGCATCTTCCTGCAGACATTTCAGACCTGTAACTTTTATATTAAAGACAAATAAAACACCAGTAACGAGCCTGCCTGATGATCCCGTTTACAGTGCATGCACAGTCTGTGGATTAAAGTGACAATCGAATCCGCCTCTGGCGCTGGTGTGGCCTCGTGTTTTCTCATGTGCCTCTTTCCCCTTTATTTTTTCACTATAAATTTCTTCCCTCTCTCTGCCAAGATGGCTTTGCCTCAGTACAAGGGGAGATCTTCTCCTGTCACCTTCCCTGGGCTCTGGTGCCAGGGTTTTGGCTGCCCAGCTCCCAGCGTGTGCCCAGCCCGTGCATGGCTGTGTGCCCGCAGCCAAGGGCTATAAATAACCCCTCCATGGAGCTATTTCAGTCCTGGACAGGGTTCAAAATTCCTCTGGAAATAATTGTCACGGGCCAGCTTAGGAGGAGAGTGCCCAGACACTGACCTGAGCACGTGCCCCCTGTGCCAGGGCTGGAATGTGGGGCTGCATCCCAGGGAACGAGCTCAGCTTGGGGGGACACTGTCTGCCCACAGCTCAGGGTGCCCCCAAACTGCCCAGGCCAGAGCCACGGGGAGATTCCCCTTCCCTGGTGCCCACCTGCTCTTGGGAAAACCCTGATTTCAGCTGTTGCATGAGAACTTACCCTGAATTTTGTGGTGGGCAAAGGCCATGGCAAAGGGAGATGTAGGCCCTCAGTGTGCAGAGAAAACAGAAGTTTTGGCTACAGCTGTATTTTATTTCAGTCTGGAAGCAGCAAGGGGTGGCAGTACAGGGGTGGGTGTTGTGTGGTGGGGTGTGTGTGTGCAGAATTACTGTAGAATTGCATACATGAGTTTGTATGTTACACTATTAATGACCAGTGAGGGCTTCCCACACACCTGTTACTTCTGCTCCCCCTCCAGCCCCAATCCTACAAGATGCTCCCTCCACACCTGAGTCCCATTGGCAGCTCCAAGTGGGAGCCCAGAGCAATGGGATTCAGCATCCTGCAGCAGAGCCTGATCCCGCCCATGGATCTGACACAGCTCCGTGCCCAGAGCTGGATCCAGCAGGATGCAGCATCTCCCTGCCCAGAGCTGGATCAAGCAGGATGCAGCATCTCCCTGCCCAGAACTGGATCCAGCAGGATGCAGCATCTCCCTGCCCAGAGCTGGATCCAGCAGGATGCAGCATCTCCCTGCCCAGAGCTGGATCCGGGTGGATGCAGCATCTCCCTGCTCCAAGCTCCTCCTGCCTTGGGCTGGGCAGATGCCTCAAGGCTCCGGGGCAGCTCCCCGCCCCACCAGGAAGGACGGACGCTGCCCCACAGCCCCAAAAACACTTCATTGTCACTCATTTCCACACAAGGCTGTGGCAGCTTCACCTGCCCGTGCCCCATACCCCCCCGCAGGTGGAGCCACCAGGAGCTCTCGGCGCCCTGGGGCTCAGGGTCCTTGTCACAGGTACAGGGACACCAGCACGTAGACGATCCAGCTGATGGAGGCGAACAACCCGATGAGGAGGCTGATGAGGACCAGTGACTGCGCTTTTTTGGATGCCAGGTACGCCTGGGCCATGTCCCCACGGGCGAGGGCAGCGCGGGTCTGGGGCAGGGAGAGAAGGGGAGCGCTTAGAAGAGACCCGCAGCACCAGGAGGGGCTTTGGGGCCGCCCGGTGAGTCCTTGCTTACCTCGTGGGAGTAGACGAGGGCCATGACCCCGGTGATCAGGCAGCAGAAGAGGGTCACCAGCACCGACTCCACCGTGTAGTCCTTGGGCCGGTGGTGCCCGCGGCCGGCGGGTGGGGGCCCCGGCGGCGGGTGGTACTGCGGGGGAGGTTAGAGCTGCTCCCCGCCCGGGCTGTGCCGCTCAGGGCACCGGGGGACCCCACAGACCCGGCAGGGAGATAAGGGGTGAGCCCTGCTGCAGAGCGGGGCAGGAACACACCGGGGCGGGGGATACGTACCGGGCTGTAGGGCAGCGGCCCGGGGTGGAAGCCCGGGCCTGGGTAGGGCCGCGGTCCCGGCCCCGGCGGGTAAATGACGGGGCCTTGCTGGGCATAGCCGGCTGGGAACGGCGGGTAGAGGAGGTGGTAGCTCTTGGGGTCCGGGGGCGAGTACGGTGGAGGAGCCCCCTCGAAGGCTGAGCTGGAGACAACCGACACGGCCACGGGCCTGTCCCCGGGGGCCGCGGGGGCGTCGCTGAGGGGGCCGGGGGTGGGCAGCGCCCCGGCTGCTCCGGCGGGAACCCCGGTGGGAGCCCAGGCCGTCCCGGTGGGAGCCCCGGGAGTGGGCAGCGCCCCGGCTGCCTCGGTGGGAGCCCCGGGAGTGGGCAGCGCCTCGGTGGGAGCCCCGGGGGTGGGCAGCGCCCCGGCTGCCTCGGTGGGAGCCCCGGGGGTGGGCAGCGCCCCGGCTGTCCCGGTGGGAGCCCCGGTGGGAGCCCCGGCCGCCCCGCTGCCGTCCCCCGGCTCCGCTCCCCGTGCGGCGGGGCCGCGGGCCTGGGGCCTGGCTGGCGGCTCACCGTCCATCCGCGGAGAGGCCTGCGAGGACAGGAAGGCTCTGATGGGACGGGACGCTCCCGGCACGGTCACCCCCGGTCCGGGTGCCATGGGGCTGCCCTCGTGTTCCCCCCGGTGCCCCATCCCCGGCCCCACTCACGCCGGTGCCCGCGGGCTCCCAACCGCCGCCGCTCGGGGCCCGGCCCGCTCCGGCCCCGCCGCGGCCCCCGAGGCCCGCGTGGCCCCGCGCGGGCGGCGGGAGCGCAGCCGGGCCGGTTAATCATTGACCCGCTGCTGTTTGCCCAGGGCCCGCGGGCGGCGCCGTCCCGCACTGGCCAACCCGGCCCGCAGCACTGGGGCTCGGGGTGCGCAGGGACCGGGAACCGGGCGGGCAAACGGGGCTGGACAGAGGGTCCGGGTTCGGCCGGCCCATGGAGCCGGTGCTGGGCGCCGGACAGTCAAGGAGCTTCAATTTGTTCGTGTTTAAACATATGATTTGGTTTTATTTTAGAATATTGTATTTACATGTAGAACGTGGTGTGTGTTCCGGCTCTATTTATACACAAAATGTATATAAAATTCTGCATATTGTAGCTATAGCTATTAATGTTTAGCAGTGTGTGTGGCTATCTCTATCACACCCACGCACAGGATGTGTGTGCACACACTGTGTGTAGGTGTCTCACCCATATGTGTATTTATGTGTCCTGGTGTCTCTGTGTTGGACCTTCAGGTGTTTCTTCACAGTTCCTGTGTACCGCGCTCTGCACACACCTGCACTCAGGACCGGGGGTACAACACATATGGGAACAGGTGTAAAACACACGGGAACAAGTGTAAAACACAGGGGAACAGGTGTAAAACACACATGGATACAGGTGTAAGACTCAGGGGACTCAGGTACACATGCACGTGGATACAGCTGTTAAACACACACGGAACAGGTGTACACATGCACATGCTTACAGGTGTAAAACACACAGGGAACAGGTGTACACATGCACATGGGTACAGGTGTCGAGCACACAGCCGGGGACAGACGTACACACACACACGCTCACACAGGTGTCTGGGTAAGACAGCGTTGTCTGTAACGGAGCAGAGCCGTCCGGCTGTCCGTCTGTCCGTGCCGGTGCTCCAGCCCCGGGGCTGAGGCCGGCCGCGCTCAGTGCACGAGGCCACGCCCCCTCATGGCCGCGCCCTCCCCAGGCCCCGCCCCCGCCCCTCTCCACCTCCGGCCCCGCCCCCCGCCGTCCATCCCGCCATGGCGTCCGCCGGCGGCCCGGACGCGGAGCGGCCGCACCCCAAGCCCTTCCTCATCGGCGTCAGCGGCGGCACCGCCAGCGGCAAGGTGAGCCCGCCGTGCCGGGGCCCTGCCGGGACCGTGCTGGGGCTGTGCTGGAGCTCGCCCCCGGCAGCCCGCGCGGCGCGGGACCTGCGCGGCGCCCGCAGGGGCATCGCCGGCGGCGGCCCCGGGCTGCGCCCCGGGCTGAGGGCGGGCTGGGGGCCGGGCCGTGGGAAGGGTCGGGGTCCCCCCGCCCCGGCTGAGCCCCCGTCCCGCTCAGTCCACAGTGTGCGAGAAGATAATGGAGCTGCTGGGGCAGAACGAGGTGGAGCAGCGGCAGCGCAAGGTGCTGATCCTCAGCCAGGACAGCTTCTACAAGGTGCTGACGGCCGAGCAGCAGGCCAAGGCCCTCAAGGGACAGTACAACTTCGACCACCCGGGTGAGCCCCCACCGGCCCGGCCCCTCCAGGGCTCGGTCCGTGCTCGGAGCGCAGCTGGGTCTCACGGGAAGTCCCCGTAGGAAATGGGAAGTGTTGGAGAACAGAAATGTGCTTTCCCCCACTAGAACATCCATTTGTCCTTCCCGTGTGCCCGTTGTTCTGGAGCCGTGCAGAGGTGCTGAGCATCCCAGCCTGCTGCCTGCTCCACTCCCTGCTCGTGAGAGGCTCCCTAATGAAGCACATCATTCCCCAAATCCTTTCCTGTTACTTCTTGTCCACACAAACAGCTGCTCCCCTTGCCCGGGGGAGTGCTGTGGATTGTAGGCGGGACAGGGAGCTGCCCTTGGCTGGAGTCTGGTGCCTGTTGGGTGGGTAATGGAAACCATGAAAGATGCCTCGGGTTTTCCAATTGGCTCTTGATTAACAGATGAACAAAGTTGCAAAAGATTGCGCAATTATAAGCGGGTTGATAAAATTATAAAATTGCCGGCTTTACCTTTGAGCTCTTCGTTTCATTGTGTTGTAGTTGCTTGTGAACAGCAAACTGTCTCTTCCTTATCTCTGAAACCAAACACAGCCACTGTCACTTGGGCACAGAGTGCTGTGGTGCTAGTGGTAGGAAAGAATAGGCTGCAAGTTCCTTTTTTATGGTGAAATACTGGGCAGAGAGTTTTTTCTTTGGGTCTGGAAAAATCTGAGCAGATCATTTGATACAACAGCATCTGAAAGTCCTTCTCTTTGAACTTTCCTCTCGCAGATGCCTTCGATAACGAGTTGATGCATTCAACCCTGAAGAACATTGTTGAGGGCAAAACGGTTGAGGTACCAACGTACGACTTCGTGACACATTCTCGGTAGGCCCTGCCTTTGTCTGAGGTCCTGGGCAGTGTGGGGGTGTCCCAGCCTGGGCACAGAGCCTGTTTAACAGCTCTGGGTGTTCCTCCTGGCAGGCTGGCAGAGACCACGGTGGTGTATCCTGCTGATGTTGTTCTCTTTGAGGGGATCCTGGTGTTCTACAGCCAGGACATTCGGGACATGTTCCACCTGCGGCTCTTTGTGGACACGGACTCTGACGTCCGGCTGTCCCGCAGAGGTAAAGCCCTGCCGTGCCCCTGCTCCTTATCCGTCCCCACCATGGGACAACAGTCAGAGCTTTTATCTCCCTTTCCCAGTTCTGCGAGATATGAAGCGTGGGAGGGACCTGGAGCAGATCCTCACCCAGTACACCACGTTTGTCAAGCCTGCCTTTGAGGAGTTCTGCTTACCGGTGCGAAGCCTCTCACTAATTTCATTTGTGGGGTCTTCTTTTTTTGGGGAGGGCTAGAGGAGCAGGGTTGTTTGGGAATTAGCTGCTGTAGGGGCATTTGTATTTCACAAATCCCACGTTCTCCTCTCTGCCTCATGTCTTCAACCATTTCAAGCTGGTTGTTAAGGAGCTGAAATGGCCCCTTCTGCTGGCAAAGCACCATGGAAATGCCTCAAGCAGGTTTTCTCACTGCTGGCTGCTGGGGCTATTTAAGTATGGGTCTCTCTGAATGAAAGACTCCCACTCTCAGTTTATTCTTAAGTCTTGTAGGAAGAAAGAAAAGCTTGGTTTCCAGCAGCATTTCTCAGAGGGAACACTGGTGAAAACCTGGGGCAGATCATTCTAGCTCTGCTTGCTACACCATGTAGTGTGAGGCCCATTTAGGTACTAAAATAATCAAATTAATTTGTAAAAAACCCTATGAGAACCAAAATCCAGTATGTGGATTAAATAAATTGGAAAAGGCTAACTCAGGCGCCTCTTGCCCTAGATCAAAGAAATTCTGGGATTCTAAAACTACTCATTAGAAATGCTGAATTTGTCGGCTTTTTTGAGCTGTGGGGAGGAAGAATAAGCAGGAGTGCTGTGGTGGCAAAGATCAATAAAATGTTATCAGAGGCAGGCAGGAATTTCACATGCACATTGGATACCTTGGCTCTCAGCAGAGATTTACAATGCCTTGCGAAATGCTGATTAAAACCAGCTCTGGGCAAACAGACCTTGCCTGACATGGGCAGTGTTTGAAGGCAGCTCAAATGGGTAAAAGCAAAGGACTCCACACCTGACCTGCTCTTTCTACCTGGTGATTCTCTGCAAAGGGACAGTAAGAAGAATCCCTGAACTTAAATCCAGTGCACATTTCCCAGTGTGATATTGGAATTTATTCAGGTTGTCACCATGAGAGAGGGCTTTAACTTACAACCCTGGAGCACTTCCATCTTTGCCCAGTTTTGTGGTTGCTTCTTCCTGGAATGAAGCTGACTTTTCCCATTAACAGCCTCCTCCACCACTGCTTCTGTTTTGCAGACAAAGAAGTATGCAGATGTGATCATCCCCAGAGGCGTTGACAACATGGGTAAAAGGGATTCCCTCATTTCCTTGGGGAGAGACATTTAGGGTTGGGAAGGGAGCAGGAGGAGTGCGTGCTCCTGAGGAAGGGATTCCTTCGTTTCCTTGGGGAGACACCTTTGGGGTTGGGAATGGAGCAGGAGGAGTGCCTGCTCCTGAGGAAGGGGTTCCTCATTTCCCTGGGGAGACACCTTTGGGGTTGGGAAGAGAGCAGGAGGCACCCTGCTGCCTGCAGTGCCTGCTCCTGAGGAAGGGGTTTTTGCTGGGGGGGTTTTGATCAGAGAGCCCAGCTGCTCAGCCTGTGGAAGGCTGCAAAAGTGACCTGTTGAGGTCTGACCTCAGTGCAGACAGCAGGCAGACTTTCATTTAAGGGCTTGTTAAAACTTGAGCAGGGCTGGATGCTGCACATTTTCTAGCTAACTCATCCAGGAGAGCCTTCACGTCCTCTATTCCCCGTTGCTCTCTGCAGTTGCCATAAACCTGATCGTGCAGCACATTCAGGACATCCTGAACGGGGACATCTGCAAGTGGCAGCGGGGGGCGCTGAACGGGCACGGCCGGACGTACAAGCGACCGTTCCCGGAGCAGGCCGAGAGCGCCGCCGTGCTGGCGGCCGGCAAGCGCTCCCACCTCGAGTCCAGCAGCCGCCCGCACTAGCCCGGCACGGCCCCGGGCTTTGCCTCTGCTCCACACCAACACTGAAGACAACTTTGGCAAAGGACTTCCACGGAATGGTTGGTGAAGTGCCCCTTAAGTCGTCCTAGCAGCGGAGGGGATCCTAGTGGGAATCTTCTCGCAGAGGGGAGAGGAAGGGGTTGGCCTTCCATCCTGCTTCCCTCAAACCCCTCCCTGTTCTCTCTGAGATGTCTGGAGTTGTTACTTGGTGAACTGGTTAAAGGCAGTGTTACTTGCCTTTTTTTTAATTTTCACAATGAGATCTAATGCTGAAGATTCCCCTGAGAATTAAGCACTATCAGGTGACTAGCAAGATACCCCATTTCCCTGATGATGGTCGTCTGTAGCAGGAAAATCAGCTGCCTCTTGGGTGTTTTTCTCTCTGTCCAAGACTAGTTCACATGCTGTTAATTTTAACAGGCTCTGACTCTTCTCCACCTTGTTGGCACCTTGAGTTGTGGCCATGCTCTGCTGCTGGCCAGCACCTCTCCCTTGAGATAGGGGTGAGACAGAGACTGACTGGGACAAATGGGAACTTGCAGTTCACCAGGGGACAGGCCCAAGAAGTTTAGTGGTTCTAGTGATTCCTAATTTATTCCTTTCCAAGCTCCTGAATCTTGCAACACTGTTTGGTTATTTTTTGTACCCAGTGTGCTTTACCACAGTTACTGAATGTGTGAGCTCCAACTGGATTGAGTTGCTCATGGAAACAGAACGCTGACCTTGTCAGTATTAGTGTCTTTTAGTGCATTTCTGTACTGCTGGTTGCAAATTCTGCTGGGCAGAATCCGTCCACTTCCAGAGATGGCTGGTGAGGTCAGCAAGGGGGAAACTGGGAATTGCAGGACCCTCCTCCTGCTGGCACTGGCAGCTGCCTGGACACCCTCAGACAGGGTCAGAGCACTTGCCTTGCACTCCAGCAGCTTCAACTCAAGAATGTCTGGCTTTCTAAAAAGAGCAGACAAGAAGTACAAACAGTGATATCCCAGTTTCTGTAGTTTACCCCAGATAAGTGATACTGCAGCAGCATGAAGAGTCTGTTTGGAAAAAACTGCAATGAAGTGCTGGTTGGACCTTTGAAAAATGTCCTTGTGATACTGTTCTTGAGTCTGGACTTAAGGTATAATTTTGAGAATGAGGGTGGGAGGGAAATGTTACTAAGAGGAACTTTTTCATATTTGGTAATTTTCTAAAAGCAGGGTTTGGCTGTGTTGGTTGTGGGTGTGTTACTTTGGCTAATAAATAAATGAACAGTGATCAGAAATGACCATTTTTATAAAAGGTAATTCTGGTACATTCACCATGCCAGCAAAAAGGCACAGAAAGGGACACTGCTGGAGGGGCTCTTCTATTCAACAGTTCTTTCTCCCCTTAACTCAGAATTGTTACCTTTGGTTCTGTTGTGGCTGAAAATTTAGAGAAAAAACCCAAACTTAAGCAATGAGTCTGCACTTACATCCTATAATATTTTCAGCCTTGGAAAGGGGTGAAGGGTTGGTGTCTCAGTGACAGTTCAGTGGTACTTGTGCAGTGCCCAGGAGAAGGCAGAGCATTTCCTGCTGCTGGCTGCTGTCTAGCTCAGGGTGACAGACTTAGAGCATGAGCTACTGCCCTGAAGCATCAGCTCTCAGGGCTGATTGCAGTAGGAGCAAAATAGTCACTAAAACCTGCTCTGAATGACTGTGGTGTTGGATCATACGTTCCTAAGGGGTGGGGGAGCCTTGGATAGAATTTTTTAGAGCAGTGAGGAACTGCACAGCCCCTGGGGTGTGGGAATGCTGCTCTGGCAGCTTTGTGCTGCCCTGCAGGACCAGCCATGGAATGTGGCCCAGGTACTACAGCCCTGCTCAGACACCTGGGCAGAGCCATGACAAATTCCCCACTGAGTCCCCAGTGCTTCACCTTCACCTCTGTGAATTCTCTGCTGGTGCAGGCCTGGCCATGGGCTGGGTTTCAGCGTTTTCACCCTGAACCCACGTGCACAAGCTGGAGCAGGTTTCCTTGTCAGCAGGATCAGTCCTACCCTGCCCAGAGTTCCTTTTCCCATGGGATCTGAGGTGTAATGGCAATACTGGCACTGCTGGTAACAGGCCTCAGGCTTCCCATCAGTGCCACATGGCCAAAGGATTATTCTGGCTTTGGCTCAATTCCTGGCTTGCCTGAAGCCTTCTTTAGCTGTAACAGCAATTTTTTAATGTCTTTTTATTTTGCTTATCTTCTTAAAAGTGATGCTTATGTCAGATGATTATAAATAGATAATAGTAACAAGTCATTATTCTATGAAGAATGAACTATTTATAAATGTAGCTTAATGCTGTGTTTACATAAATAGAAATGATAGCAGAGCATTGGAAGTTGGGGGCAAATAATGCATTGTTGAGGCGTGGAGTCATGGAATGATGCTGTAAGGCTGCAGGGCCAGTTACTGATTGTTAAAGATGAACAGGCTTTAGAGAGGGAAAACTGAGGTTTCAGGCATAACAAAGAAAACAGAAAAAAGTATCTGATGTGTTGTAAAGAGTCCATTTATAATAAGCACATAATGGGATTGCAGACCACAGTGATAGGAAACACATGCAGTGCCAGAAGGAAGAAACCACCACAGTATTTCCAGGAAAGAGAAGAAATTCTTGCAGCTCTTCCCAGCAAAGGAGCTGGGATGCTGTTGACTGAAGGCAGCAACCTTCACACCCTGAAGGGGTAATGAGGGGTGAACATAACAAGGGCAGAAACTGGGAACTGTGCTCAGAACAGCTGTATTACTGCTGAGCCCTTTTCTGTAACAGCATTCCTTTATTTCCTCCTGTAATCATTAGATCAGGACTGCTACCAAATACCTGAAGCGACTGTTAAGATTTCCATGATAGTAACAATAAATTCTTGGCTTTGCACAAGTGTTTCCCTTGCTGCAGGCAGGCTGCAGTGGTCACTGCTTTCTGATCAGGATGTTCCAGGTGTCCTTCCAGCGCAGGGCCCTGAGCTCCGCGGGCGCCAGCGCGGGCTGCCCGTAGCTCAGGGGGCTGAAGGTGCAGTACACAAAGTACACCCAGGAGAACCAGGCCACAACCAGGGCACTGAACATGCTCTTGAGCAGCACAGATCTGGGATCAGAGAGGGAAAGAGCACTCAGGTTACATCAAGGCTGGGCAAACACTTCATCTAAAAGATCTGTGCCTGGCTTCCCTAAAGGCAAATGACACAGTTTGGCCACTGCTGGAAAAATCACTGCTTTCCCTGCAGCAGCCCTGGAGAAAGAGCTGTGCCAGTCCTGTTCAAGAGAACTATTCTGCTGAGCCAAATACCTGCAGAGATGATCACTGAGATGCTGCAGTACCACAGGAATCAGGAGAATCTGGAATGTGACAGCAGGCAGGTAGTGGTACAGGAAAAGTGTTTTTTCCATCAGGAAGAAAGGCAGGTAATTCACAGCCCAGCCTCCACCACAGATGCCTCCTGCTGCCATCCAGAGCTGCCAGGCATCTGCAGGAGACAGGAGATGGCACCTGAGAGCAGAGCAAGGCACAAGGCTCCACCTGGACACACACAGAGTGCAGCCAGACCTTCAGGGATGTCGTAGATCCTCCTCCTCCGCCGCAGCAAGTACCACAGGGACAGACACAGGTACAGCAGAGCAGCAGCATTAGCTGAAGCCCAGGTGGCAACATTCCCAAGGAGGTGGATCTGGGCCTGCAGGATAGATGATGGTCTATGCCAGAAGCAGGAACATGCTGTGGTTCTTTTAGGTAAGTTTAAATATTACCTACACAAACTTGCTAAATTAAGCTCCAGAATGAGCCTGCCTAGTAACCTGGAACAAAGCTGGTTGATAAACTTTGCTGCTTTAGGACTCTTGTGTAATGGAAAGCATTTAAAGGATGCTATTGGAGATGAACTCATCTTCTAAATGAAATCAATAATGGAAACTATTAAACTGCAATTTACCTTTAAAAAAAGGCACAAGCAAACATGATTTAATTAAAAGCAGCTACTGTCAAAGCTGTATCTCATGCTAAAACAAATACCACACCCCTCATGGAAAATATATTAATACAGGGAAAGTCCTTGGCTGGAAACTGCAGCCCTGCATCTGAGCTGTTCTGCTTTCTCAAAAGCTTCACAGCTACTTCTGCCTCTCTACTTACCCCCGAGGTGGGGTGGAGCCAGTAGGCAATATTGGTGTCCATTGTGATCCAGTCCAGGGCAGAGGAGCTGTATTTATGTTCTGTGTCTTCATTTTTTAATGTCAGTATTTTCCACTAGAAAAAAAAAAGGTAAGCAGAAGGATTCAGCATTGGAACAACAGGTGGGACAGCAGGCATGGGTGAACAGCTCCAGATGTAAGATGTTAGGTTCTTAAGCTGGGAGTGGAGAAATATTTTACATATTTCATATGGATACTGATCAATACAATTTTTAAATTCTGTTATTAAATAAAGCACTTTTCTTAATGGATTTCTACAAATATAGGGGCATCAACACTATTCACTGCATGTACCACACAGTTCAGTTTCAGGCAGCTTCTGGGTGCCCAACCAATTTTCCTCCCCCTTTTTTGTTACACAATCACTTGGGTATTCATTACTGGACAGCCCAGGTCTTTAATGCCCTTATAAGTGCATTCAGAAACATTTTTTTACAGTGAGGAAGCCGAACTATCAGCAAGGATTAAACAATGAATTCTCGGGCTCAGAGTCTGCAGAAATGCTGAGGTTCCTGCTTTGCAGCAGAAGGGAAAATGAAGGGGATAACAAGACACTCACCTGCAATTCTGTGAACTTTGCCATGAAACTGAGGTTTTTACTGATGTCCATCTGTGTGGGGGAGTGGAGCTCCACTTCTCTCTCTTTTTGCTCTTGGCCTGGAAGAAAACAGCAAAGCTCAGAAATAACCACATACCAGGCAGAAAGGGAGAGATCACAGAGGCTCCTCAGTCTCCCAGGAGCCCTTCTCCAATACATCACCCAACTGCAACAGCACCTGAAGGGACTTTGTAAGGATCTGACACCATGGTAGAATGAACACACTGAACACACACACAGTACCATCTTCCCACCACCATGAAGTGAAACCTGCTTCAGGAACATGGCTGAGACCTACTTTTGCCATATCTGTGCTCTTCCACATTCCACAGCATGCTCTGGTGGTAGCCTTTGGACAGCTTCTCTCCCACCACCTCCAGCTGCCGGTATCCCCACTCAGGCAGAGATGCTCCACTCAGCTAAAAGAGAAAGACAACTGTGAACTTGTAAACTGAAAGTTCTACCAATCTGAACTGCAGGATGGAAGAAATTCTGCCAGGGCACTGGATGACAGTGAGGGACTGCTAGAAAATGTGTGAAGAGTCACCATGCAAAACTGTCTCAATAAACACTACAGCCATAAAATCAGTGATTCTGGCAAACTTTATGAAGAAAAAGATCCTTAAGTATTCCAGCTGCTCTCACAGGCACATAGCATCAGTTTGCAAGCCCCAGTTGTGTAGAGT